CACAGACCCCTTCGTCTATGGCGGCTGTTCTCAGCTGAAGTTCTCACCTGCCTCCGCCTACGAGTCCAATCTCAACTCTCTCCTCTCTTCCCTCGTCAGCTCCGCCGCTCTCGGTCGCTTCGCCAACTTCACCGTCCCCGGCGGAGGATCCACCGTCTACGGCCTCTTCCAGTGCCGGGGAGACCTGGACGCGGGGGCGTGCTCCGCGTGCGTCTCACGCGCCGTCTCGCAGCTAGGCAACATCTGCCTGGACGCCTGCGGTGGCGTGCTTCAGCTCGAGGGCTGTCTCGTCCGCTACGACAACGTCTCGTTCCTTGGCGCGGAGGACAAGACGCTCGTCCTCAAGAAATGCGGACCGAACATCGGTTTCGACGGTCAGGACGTGTTGACCAGGAGAGATGACGTGGTAGGTTCGCTTGGGTCCAGTGGTGGGTCCTACAGGGTGGGTGGGACCGGAGACGTACAGGGTGTGGCTCAGTGCGTGGGGGATCTCAGTCCGAGCGAGTGCCAAGATTGCTTGTCAGAGGCGACAGGACGGCTCAGATCCGACTGCCCCATGGCCAAGTCGGCTGACGTGTACTTAGCCAAATGCTACGCTCGCTACCACTCCGGTGACTCCGGCTCCTCCGGTCAGCATTTTCGTTTTTCCTCGATCCCATGAAAAAAATTAAAATAATAATCATTTCTAAGTTTCTGCGTAGGCATATAATTGTTTAATGTCGTCGCGTTAGCGTAGTCAACTCTCTGAATTATTAGAAAAAACATTTTCACGTTGACTCTACTTTTCTTTTATAATGGACGTTAATTTGGATGAAAACTAAAACATTTTTCTTATTAACGGGTTGGAATATGAGACAGGAGGTGGCACCGACAAAGACAAGGATCAAGATGTGGAGAAAACGCTAGCGATAATCATAGGCATCGTTACCTTAACCATATTGCTGGTTATCTTCCTTTCTTTTATTGGGAAACAGTGCCGTAAGTTACAAGGTAATATTGATATACACTCCCTCTCTAGCTAACGTTAAATTAAAGAATGAAACCCTAAACTAGCTAAAACGATATTTTGAACATTAGATTAGACCAGTTGTAATTATAAGTTGCTAATTAATTGTCTAACCAATGTGTGTATGTGTGTATGTATATGTCTGCAGATGGAAAGTAGTGATCTAAAAATATACCAAATTAATGGGAAAACGGGGAAGGAGATCATCAATCACAAGCGGAGCTGCATGCTACGACTTGCTTTTGTTGTGTGTGTATATATATGTGTGTACGTTCATATATATATATATATATATATATACATACTGTCTTTTTTGTATGTGCATGGAAGAGTCACTATATATATTAAAGGATGGATACAACTATAGAGATAGAGTGATGGAAGCCCCCACCCAATTGCTCTCATCTTTAATCGTCTCTTCTTTTGGGTTGATGAGACCTCATCATTTATTTTGTATTTACTTTTTGCATCTGTTTCTCTAAGAATGTCACTTTCTTTCTCTTCCCTTTTTTCCAACGCAATATTTCATTTTTAGGATGATAATCCAAATATAACAGAAGAACAATTAACCGTTAATTAAACCGCAATTAACTTCCGTTTCCGTGGTGTAAGAATCTTATCAACGAGAGATAATACTCGTCAGTTCAATCAACAACGTACCATAAATTAATAAGATATCCAAAATCCATTGAATATATATATGTGTATAAGTATGACATAAAATTGTCCTCCGCACAATTCGTCATCGCCTTTGGTTGAAAATCCAGTGGCGTGAAGTTACTGTGCGCTGGATTATGACTGAACGCTTCTAAGTCAGAATCCGGGCTAGAAGGACGCATGGTTCGATTAGTCTTTCGTCCCTATACCCAAGTAAGACGAACGATTTGCACGTCAGTATCGTTGGGAGCCAAAAAGGCCCCTACTGAAGGTCGGCAATCGGACGACAAGCTCATGCGAGTATGAGCATGCCTGTCCGGACCTGAAAGATGGTAAACTATGCTTGAGCGGGGCGAAGCCAAAGTAAACTCTGGTGGAAGCCGTACATGGGTTAGTCGATCCTAAGAGTTGGGGGAAACCCGTCTGATAGAGTTTTGGCGCAAACTTCAAAAAGGGATCCGGTTAAAATTCCGGATGAATGGAAGTTTTTCGAACATGTGCGAGGTTTCTCGGACCTGTGCGGAATTTCTCGGACATATGCGGACGCAGTTTCTCGCACAGGTCCGAGAAACCTCCTAATCCGTCTTCTACCGGCACACAGCGACCCGCTTTCGCCACAGGAACAGCTCAAACAGTCCGCCGAACGTCGCGGGCGGCAAACCACCCACGTCGCCGCGATCCGAACATGCATGTGTTGATATTTTCTCGGTTATGATTGGAATTTACCCGACCATTCGGAGTTTTAAGGACCGTAGAGGAGATCTAAGAGATATTGTGAAATACAAATCGGAGAAATTTCACGTTTTAAAAAACAGTTATTTGTCTATATATTTAAACAAATATATAATATAATCCTGAGAAATGCTCCAATATATTGACAACAAAATTCTATATATAAACCTTTTACACATGCACCCTTAAAAATAGTCAAACACTTGTTCTCACCTATTGAATTTTATTATTTATTATTATTATTTTTCTGTAAAAAAATTATTATTTATTTTCCTCGCAATATATTGACATATTTATTCCAACGGATGTTATTTTAGGAACCGTTTCATGTTTTCCCCAAGTCAATGACGCCGTCCAGAAAATAATTCACGAGGCATCAACAGCGTCGTGAAGGAACTTGTGTAACTTGTTTTAGATTATCTTAATTAATCTCTTTTTTTTTTCAATATTTTATTAACACGTACGCACAATAGAAGATCTGAAGCAAAAATTATAATTATTAGACGACAAGTCTCTTTATTCATTTTTAATAATCTGTGTAGACGTACACAAACTTACATTAATCCATTTTAATTAGTGTAAGCGAGCGATTATGTACGCAATCAAGGAAACACACTAAACCGATATTGAGGGAACGGTACCTTCATAATGTCATGTATCTCCTGTCAGGTTGTGAATGTCAGCAAGAATCTTTTATTCGTATCCTTTATTAAATATTCATATGGTTCCTCCTAATAATTCCGTAATGTGAAAGTTTAGGTCTTACATTGATTGATGGCACATTCCATTTCCAAAAAAAAAAAAAAAGAGTTTTGCAGGTGTGTAAATTACTACTACTGCACGTAGCAAGTGGACCTGTAAAACGGGTCGGATCTGACCCGTAAATACGATTCTGATACATTCTCCTTTTGGTAACTATTTAGTATTTACACTACAACCAGGCAAATTGCAAAAACACATTGCATAGCAATTAGAAACCTTACTCTAAACGTGAAGACGATAAATAAATCCTCAAGTAACAACTAGGGATGTAATAAAAGTGCAAATTCCACACACACACACACACACACACACATATATATATATATGAAGTTCATGGATTTGATACCCAGGACCTGTCTTGGGAGGTTCTCTCTCGGTCCTAATTAATTCAAGGACGCCCATATTCAGTTCATCTTTTATGTTCCCTGCGTTAAAAAAAAACACAATGATAATGAAAATAGTAATCATTAATTCATTATTATGATTGTGGGATTGTGGAGCATCATAAAACCTCCAACTCTGTTCATGAGTTGGCAGTGATTACCCAAATGGGGACACAATCAACAAGTGGGGTTCTTGGAGAGGTTGGGATGAGAAGCAGCGGCGTAAACAGAGGAGTTGGCATCGGGTTTAAGGTGGGAGAGGAGGTGTTGGACGTCTGGCCTTAAAGAATCTGCGGCCCTTCCGATCAGAGCCAACACGTCTGGTCTCGGTTTGCTGCTTGCCTGCACCGCCCCTCCTTGCCCCTCGTAGTGAACGATGTGGTACCTTCACACAAACGGGTCATTTTACACACTCATTAAATTAATCCTTACATCACTTTAGAGAGTACCAGCTATCGGTGTAATCCAATGTTTGGATTTGAAATTCTACATTATTCATGCAACAGAGGGGCTTGCCTGGATATCTTATGACTAATCAATGCAAAATGCCTCAGATATCATAATCATAAGTAAAAAAACACAAAAATAACTATGGCAATGAAGAGATGAAAAACTTACAGGAAGTCAATTAGGTCTGTAATATGGGATGCTTCAACAGGCACTGCTGGCTGCACATGTTTTCCGAATACATCCACCATTGTGCTCAACAGCAGCGTTAGGGTCTATAAAAAAGAACAAAGATGTTAAGCCAGACTGCTTTAAATGCGCAAAAGTTTTACATTGTTCTTGAAATGGAATTTCAAGACTATTGCATGCACCCAGGAAAAGCAATTCAATTCAGTAGAGTACTTCAGTGTTCTGATACCTTGCTAAAGAGCGTATGTGTGTTAGCAAGCCTTGGAAGCAATGGCCCCATTATACGGAATACTACTCTTAGCATAGCAACAGAGATGATGGGCCGGAGGTTCTTGATGATGACATGTGTGCCATCAAGCCATTCTTGTGGGAGATTGCTGAAGAAACCATGAAGCAATGCAACTACATTTCCTGGAAGAGACAATGACGCATGTCTGAAACAAAGATGAACAAAAGCCAGCAAGACATGCTAACTACACAAGTTTTTTGATCCACCTATAACTTAGATATGGATGGCGATATGCTTTTGTACATAAATTTTTCCTATAAAAGCAGTCAGTAAAAAACTGGCAATCCATGTCTCTTCCGACTGCAAATATGGATAACTGAAAAATGTGTCCAAGTGTAGAGTGGAGTAACATCAAGTCACCTGTGGATTCAAAAGTGAGCTCAGTTTGCTCTATGGAACAGCCAAGGCCTTGGTTTTAGGAAATTCACAAGCAGAAGAACGTAAAGAGAAACAACAGGGATGTACCTATTGCGGTTGAGGTATTGTCCTGAGCAGCCCATGTAGGATCCATCAAGGCGTAGCCCACAGCCGAATCCAGTTCACCCACTGACCTCTTTCCGTCACTGAGCCACCATGTCTCTTTAATCACACGCGAAGCCTCTATATAAAGCTGCAGGTGAAAATCAGGGGGTAGCTGAGCCAGCAAAAGCCCACAAGCTTGGATCAATAAGCATGACAGTTGCTGGCATGTATAGCCGCTTCTGGAAACGAAGCTGGCTGTGTTGATCCCAGGGACTGCCTGAGTGGATCGACTTGCACTCATAGAGTCTGTGCTCCCTCCTGAAGGAGAAGTTGGCAGAACCGAACCTTGCCCAACCCCATTCGCAGCCCCATGGAAACCGTTGCCAGACTGGATAAGTGTTGACTGTATATTGACGATTATCTGAACCAGTGATGCAACTATCTGGGATGCAGAGACAGGAAGTGAGAGGATCTCGATCACGGCTGTCTCAAGAACAAGCTGTGTGTAAGTTCCAGGGTCCTGGATTTGATAGAATGCTTTCTGGCCCTCAGAGGCATTTGTAGGACCGGGCTGAGATGCACCTGGAGTTTTGCCATGAGGCCTTGCCGCGCTGTTTGCTATGTCTGCTATTGAACCAGACCTTGAGCAGCCACTGCTGCTGCTAAGTGGAGGGATGACATTGTTCACAAGACCGAGCAGAAGCGTGGCGAAGTAGTCTAGAGGCGGGCACACAGCTGGATTTGAAGAATTTATGTGCTGCGGGAATGACTCAGAGAACGGAATCTGCAGTGACATCAAGTAATTCGTAAGTTCCATTCTTCGAAATCTTATTACATGAAACAAAATACCATGAATAACATCCTAGGTATAACTGTTTATAGTGGAAAGATGTGAAAACCCGATCTAAACGGAAAACTAAAAGGCTAGTTTAAAAGAAACAAGTGCTACTAGAAACTAGAAGACCTTAGAAATTGGAACTTTAAAGAAAATGTTAAACATATATGTTCATTTAAACATAACTTCAGAAAACCAGGATTCGTGTGTTTTATTGATATAGACAGAACGCCAGAAACAAGAAAAATAATAAATAAATATCTCCCTGAAATATTGTTTACTGAAGAATGGGCAAAATTTTGATTGAGGGATATTCTAATCCTATTCTATGAGGAACCTAGCCAAATTAGGATATACACAAGAAAATTGACTAAAACTACAAGAAATTTCTAACAATTGGAACTTATCCCTAATCATAATTTATGTGTACTTTGAAACAAGTTCTGGGCTATGTTAAGGACCGAGAATTTTATTGCTTACCTTGCTGAGATCGAGTACTTTAAGAATCCGGACCACAAACTTCCCAGGAAGATAGCCGTAAAAATATGCAAGTATGTCACGGACAAACGTGAATCTGAGCGGATGATAGGCCAGAAACGGCGAATACAAAGCCAGAACTTTGTCAGCCGATTCCATGGCTTCATTCTCGATGAGCCTGTAGACCACTAGAGGGATGACCGGAAGCAACCGTGCTGCGATATCATCAAAGAATGTCGGGTACCTTGGTTTAACAGAATCACACAGGGTTAGTGACTGAATCTCAATGTGGTGAATTTCTGGTTGTTCGAATACATTTTGAGTTCAATGAAACACAAATCCTGAAAAGTGATATTTTTGCGACTACTAAAGCACAGACTTCATGCGATACATTTTCACAGTCATGATTGACAAACAAGATTAAAATTACCACAAATGTACTACATATTACATAATAAATAAAATTATGTTTCTGCCTGTTTCTTGCATATTCGAAAGTTTGAGATAGGAAAGTTTTCAAGAGAATGTGTGATTGTATCAGAAGATGGTTACAAACAACAGGGTATTATTACCTGATAGTAAAGTATATAAAAACCTGAATCCGAGCACAGAATAATATTTGAATTCTCATATTTATTCAAAGATTAAAGGCGATCAATATTTTCAATATTGCTCCTCTCAGAAGTCAGGGATAGTGTAATATTTTTATACACACAAACTGGGTTATAATTAAGAATTGTTTTTAATAGGTTTGCCCCCGAACACGCTTTTTAAATTAATAACAAAAAAAAATATTTAGGCATTTGCCAGGGTAAACTGAATGCTTTGATGGTTCAATCACACTAAGATGTAAGTTAAGCCATTAAACAGTCAAGTCATGTCTTGAAGTGGATTTTAGCAGGAATCCGGCAAAAAGACATAGAAGTGAGTTAGAAAATTCACCTGTCTTTCCAAGAAAGATGGTTTCCAAGGGCTTTCTGGAGATCATTACGTTTGAAGACCTGAGTACAAAGCCAGTGCTCGGGCTGTCCGCGGTTTGCACAGTACAATTTCACCCTTTGTTGAAGTTCTTGCCTTTCAAGTAGAGTAGTCTGTAACACATAAATGTATGCCCATAAACAACAAGAAGGAAAAGCCTTTGTATAGGAACATGTATCAGAGTTGCTTTTGCATGTTGCATGAACGTACCGCAATTCTCAAGGCGTGTGGATCGTCATCACGGTCAATAAGTGCCAGAAGGAAAATATCTAGAGGAAGCATTTCATGGGTCCAAAAGAAAAATGCAAGAGTCGTACATGTTTTGTATAGAACATCCTGACAATTAGGAAACAAGATAAAATAAAGAACAGGGCAACAAAACGTGTTGGATTTTTTGAACAAACTGACATCACATTACAAAGTTTGCAGAACTTTCTAGAAGAAACTCAGCTAAAGCTTGCAGAAAATAGGAAAGGGAGAACCCAAATAAATTTCCAGAACGATGTTTGATTTTCAGTCAATCTTTTCAGTATGCACGTCAACAAACAAATCAGTGAGACAGCATTTCATTTTGGAGTGTTAAATGGATTCCATATGAATGAACTTTCATATCAATCAACAGAGAAGGAAAAACTAGGAGAGGACACAAAAACCTGTAGAGCGTGTCCACGCTGAAGATCCACGTGAATGTGGTGAAGTAAAACATCCACCATAGTGTATATATTGGCAGTGACTTCTTCAGGGGAAACTTCCCTGAGAACCCGTGCCTGATCATTTTTCAAAAGACGATTATACTCAGTTAGTAAATGATTCATAATGGGAAAAGATTAGCAGAACATACCAGATTTGCGCTATTGATGTTTTCGGGGTGGCCTTGCATCAACAGACATGCACCGGCGCATAGATACTGACGATGTTGAGGAAAACTGTGACTGAGGTATGTCATAACATACGCAGGTTCAGCGGACGGTGACAGAAGCTGAGTGCACTGGTTGATCACGGTTGTTTCAGCCTGTTGCCACGCCTGAACTGATATGCCCCTCTTGTCTATGCGTCCAATCAAGGCATCTCGAAGAAGAGAAGGGAAATGCCGCAGTGTTTTCTCTGACCATGAATGCTGACTCGTTGCAAGTATTTGTTCCAACATGGTTTGCAGGTAAACCAGGTGATCAGCATCTGCAATTCCACGTGTTTTGATTGTGATAGCAAGAGTAATGATGGTTATCCGGTTTAAGGTTTCCGTGAATTCTGTTGGCCCCTGGAGAGATAATATAAGAACAATTACACCTGAATCAACCCGCACAAGAAAGAGTAGCACAGTGAGCATCTGTTGAGAATTGTATACTTACCTTTCCCTCCCGTTTCACTGAGAAGAAGTCTCTCAGCGACAAAATCAGATTCATGCATAAGTTTTCAGCCAGTCTGAATACACGATGGTCTCCACGTTTCCCTTTCAATGCAGAGATTATTTTAGTAACATCATACATCAGAGTTTTGCTCTTTCCTTGATATCTGCAACACCAATATGATCATTTTTTTGTTCAATAATGTGAAACAATACATAGATAGCCAATAACACCAAAGCCATTATAAATCATTATTTTATTGAAAAATTAAACCGAGCTGCCATCCATAGAAGAAAAAACCCCTACTAATGAACTTCACTGATTTTCTCTTGTACAATGTGTAATCTACCTGTAGAGTGGAAGCAGACGATAGTTCAGAATCTCAAGAACAAGGAGTGTCACCCCGGGCTTGCTTAACAGAGAAGGATTCTTTTGGGCTAATTGCTGCAAAAAATATCTAATCTTATGAATTGCTTATGATCTGATTGTCGATAAATAACAAACATACATAATAATAATAAAATTCAGAAGACAACCGAGGGAACCAAATAGCTTACAGTAAAAAGCGAACGGAACATTGAGTGAGGTGCAATGAGCAATAGTCTTATGTAAGTCTCGACCATAGCAATGCTAGGAATAGCCTGCACACAGAAAATAAATTAGCATATTATCACAGCTAATGATGGTAAACCAATCGGAGAATCCAGCTGTTAGTCAGAAATGAATTATTAACCAGTAACAATGTCATTTTCCTCTATGTCTTCCTACTATAAATTTATTCATCTGATAAACCCTATTATCGTGTCTATGTTAGGAAGAACAAGATGAGGGGAGAAGAGGAAGGGCAGGTAGGACCTGAAGCTGAGAAACAACAGCAGAGGAACACAGAGGGAGGTGCTATCGGGGACAGGAACTCTGCAGGCAGAGGAATGACTACCTAGTATTTCTGTTTTTGCTTTTTACATGTACGCGTCTTACGTTTCTGCAGGTTGTTATTAGTAGATGCCAGGTCAGCATTTTTGTAGCTGAACTTGGCCATTAAGTAGCGGCATTTTTGGCTTTGGGAGGGGTATGCTTTTGATCTGGTATCTTTTTGTAAGTGGGTGAGAGTGAAGCCTCACTATAAACAAGCTAAGCTCTTCAAGGTTGTTATTCCTGTTTCTGTTTCTGTGAAATACAACTCGGCAGTTTATCCTATTCGATTCTACCATCATCACACCCAGGTTTTAGCAAAATTGTTTGTATTAAATTTAAACTCGCCAAAGAGGATGATCTTCATTGATGAATGCATCATGTAATATACGGATAATCTTTGTCCAGACAGAGTGCACGCACCTGGGTAACAAACAGAGCGTCTTCCATCTGAAGGGCCAATTTCAAGCACACATTGATGGACAAGCCAGACAACAATGACATAGGCAATGGTGTCACTTCGTGCATCATCATTACCCTCTCGTTTGGTTGTAATCCCGGTAACTCAGCCATTCCAGCTGAAGATAACCAATTCATAACTGTTTCCCAAGCCGGTTGTGCCATGGTGTAGGATACGACCCAAAACATGCCAATCGATCTATCATCCATATTCATATAATCCATCATGCGATCTCCTGAAAACTCAAACATTAGGCAGCATGAGAAGACAGTTTTCATTCCCATTCCAATCCTGGCATGGTGAATGTATGTACCTTTGCTCACTTGTCTCCACCACTCATCGATCTGCTTTCCCTTCTGAAGTTGTTCATTGTTTAGATATTCTCTAGTTGTTGTGTTCAACGACCAAATCCGTAGATTTTGACAACTGCTTATGAAGTCGAGCAATACACTTTGCGGATTGTTGGGATCAGAATTCCTATCTTCCCTGTGAAAAGATAGTATCTTTCTAGTCGTATCCACCTAGAAGTAAATCCCCCCATAAAACACATATTATAAAATGTAGAAGTGAAGGAGAAGAAATATACAAGGATCAAGTTGCAGCTGCTTGAGGAAATATATTATTGAGCAACAACCTTACGAGCATCAGAGTTCAAAGCACTCATCACAAGCTCCACACGAATGATTTGTGCAAGCAACCAAGTCACGTGATTTGTTCGAAGAATATGGTTATCAGTGTCGGTAAGGCGTGAAACCAGCTTGTCAATAAAGTCGACGAAGTCGGTACACCCACTTTTGATTAGAAAGAAGAAAATGTCTGAAAACACCAACCATTCCTGCCAGCAATTTACATCTGCACAGAACAGAAAAAGCCACAGATACCAACTCAATAACTACATAAAAATTCAGAAGCCCCTAACAATGATTCTCAGGGAAAGCACCCATAGCTTGAAGCCCAAGGGTACCGGTATCTCATATATCTCACCATTTTTTTCATCTCTTTTGGCAATCTAATGCTCAAAGAAAGGAAGCAAATATAGAGTTGCACCTAAATTTGAATCGAAAGTCATGACCAAAATAGGTTCTATTGAGACAATTTTACCGCTAATAGAGTCATTTACCCCCTCCCAGTCAAAAGAACATCATCAACATCACCTTAATCCCAAGTTTATTTGGGGTCAGCACATGACTTCTTTGTTTCCACTCATTTCGGTTTTGAGTCAGATCTTCTGGAATTTGCAACAATTCAAAGTCATTCTGAATGAGCTGATATGCTCATATTTGTGATGTTATTGTTGCTGAATTAAAATTAAAAAAATTGTTCCGAATGGAACCTTCTCTCGTTTCCAAGTAAATCTAGGTCTACCTTCCCTTTTCTCTTCACCCCTATTCCTATATTCTCCATTTTCTAACCGGAATTTGGTCTACGTTGTACATTTCCAAAGTCCAAACCATCTTAAACGTCCCCGTCAAAAGAGCATACTTGAAAGAAAGTGACAAACCAAAAACATGAGAAGCAAGGAAAGACAAACGTTGCCTGAGTTGGTCAGCTTCAAAAGTTCAATAATTCTGTCAATGATTGCCTCGCAAATCATATCAGATGTGAAAACAGCACCAGGGGTAGGCCCTTGTGCAGGATTTCTGTAACAAGGTGCCACAACAAGAACTCGCTTCCACCATTCTGGAGAGGGCGTAGTGCGAATGGCATGCCTTATGCAACGCACAGCTCTCTCCCAGTCCAAGCTTCCCTTTGGAATGGACATGGCAAGATCCTGCCACAATCAGAAAGGGAATAAGAAATAGAAAATGCTGACCCAATCCACATGCTTGTATATGAAATGAGTACATCAGCAGTCAACTAAGCTACAGAAAAAACTATCTTATCCTACTTTGTACTGCATTTCAGCATAACAGAAGGCATCTGCAAGAAAACTTATCTCCTATCTCCATTGTCTCATAAATAAGGAATAGGGAAATACCTCGCCATGCAATGGTTCTCCAAGCACACTCGGATATGTAATTGGTGAATATCGCGTGTTTGCAACAGTTTCAACTGAAACATTAGCAGTTGTCTGGGATAATATGCGATGGGTTCCAAATGTCGGACAGTGAAGGTGTTGGTCCAACATTAGCATGTGCATGGCCATTGCATCTCGTCTCCTGTGTATCTCCATGATAAGTGTGAATACGGCTTCATCGTCAGGTATCTTTTCTATAAACTGTAGACCACCACGCAATAATTCGTAGAATGGAACCCGGGATCTACCCTCTTCCACCAACAGCCAAATCACATCCAAGCAATTTCGCAACCATTCAGCTAGATTTTTCACAGATCTCCAAGATTTTCCAACAGAATCATCACATCCTAGTTCTCGTCTATCCCAATTCACAAGCCAATTCATCATATGCTGGAAAATCTCGGTATGAGTAACAGGTTTTAGATTGACTTCAATGCCGATTAAGATAATTTTGCAACAGAGCTGGCGTAGACTATTTATAGCAGCATCTTTCATGTGTCGGAAGTTTGTAGAAGCATCTCTAACTGATGGACCGACCCTCACAATTTGCTGTCCATTGCCAGGGATATCAGCAGATTTCACTGGTGAGAAAGTAGTTCCAGGAGCTGGTTCGTTTCCTGATGGTGCAGGGGATCCAATACCATGGACGGAAGGCAAAGGGGATGCAGGATTGATAGGATTGGAAGGCACAGGCACTCCAGACTGAGATGAATTAGCAGAAGAAACAGTTGGCACTGCTTGACCACTCTGACCTGCTGAGGCTTCTGCAGCAGAAACCGAGGAGAGAAGGGCCGGCAAGAAGGTATCCCAGTTCAGGTAATTTATCCTACGAAATGTACGCAAAGCAAAGAGAAGAAATTCTGCACGTGGTGCGTGACTGCTACACTGCACCACCAGAGATATCAGGACAGACTCTGTGATAACCCGCAATTGGTCTGGCTCCTGATGTAAGCAACCGCGGTTACAAATCACAAGTAAACCTAAAAGAGAGACAGAACAACAAGAAGAAAGTTCATGAGGGCTTACACCGAACTGGCTCCGAATTTGCTCAAAATCCAAAAGGAACTGCTCGTTTCCAGGGGGTAGTTCTCTGTTTGGAGCATGAACACGCTTCTGGGTTTTGTTCCTGCAAAAGGCCGTCTCGGGATATCATACCATGCATATGACACTGGGAGATTCATGAATCAGAAACAATGGCTTTTTGGGTGCAAAAGAAATAAAGGGTTTGTCAAATCAAATTTCAAAATCAAGCTTAACCCAGAACAGTAACGCATCAAGCCCGGCAACACTCAACCGAAGCAAATTGATCATCAACTGTGAATCTACAATATGAAATAGCAGAGAAGAGCCTACGTGCGTTCTCTGGCGGAATCGTCGGGCTTTTGGCGGCCACCTCTCTGAAAAAGTAGAAAGGGAAAGGGGGAAAATCAGCTCAAAGAATTCGAATTACGCCTAAGAAAAGCGGAGATGGAAGCGAAATTGACCCCCAAGTAAAGATTGAAAAGATCGGTAATGGCGACGCGGGCAGGAAGGAGCTGGTACGACCGAGAAGTTGAAGGCGCAGCCACTGATCTCTGGGTTTGATCCATTTTCTATGCCCGATGATCTTCGCTGTTTCTTTTCTTCTTCGGAAGTAGCTCGCGAGATTTTGGGTTTAATAAACAAGGTGGACATTGGTTTTTTGATAAATCCCGACCGGGGAAGTCACAGGCGACACGACAGACAAAATTTGAAACGGTGATAGGGACTCTGTGCTACGATGGGCCGATCCCTTCGTGTCGGGTCGGGTCGGGCTTCGTCCAATTCCGAGTTAATTAATTACACCAAGAAAGATGAGAACTTGTGCCGTTTTTTTATAAAAAAAAAACAAAAAGAAGAGAGAACTTGCTTTAAGAGGTAGTGTCATCATCAATCATAGAAACAAATGCAACAGAAGATGTGGGCTAATTACAGTACACAGACACACAGAGGAGAATCCCCCTTTCTGAGTTGGATCTCGATCTTGTTCTCTGGAGATTACCAACTCAGCCATCTCGGTTTTAGCAGAGTGTATGGGTACAGAAAGAAGTCACAAAGGGCTATTTTTTTTTTTTCAGGGGGCTTTGCAATCTCTCGTGTGGATCAATTCATCTCACAGGCGGTCTAAAGGCTCCACCGTAGTCTTGAAGAGAAGAACGTAAACCTTGTCGATCTGAAAGTACAGGAAGCCGCCTATAGAATGAGTGACATATGAACCGAAGCTTGTTCCTACAATGCAGTGCCATGCCGGCCCGTATGCCGTATCGAATTCCTGAAATGTGTGGAAAGTGGGTTGATGAGTGCATCAATCAAGGGTTAAACATCTGGGGGTCAAGAACGGTTGCTTTAGAGGAATTATCAGAAACATGTAGAAGAGAACTTTCTCAGCACCTCAGACACCATAAACAACTCCAATGCCAATCATAAAATCCTGAGAATACAAACTCTTACAGAGAACAACTCTCTGTCCATATAAGAAGTTGATCCTCTGTTTTTCTTTTTTCCCCCTTCAGCTGGATTTTACTAAGAGAAAATTTAAAACCCAAAGTAATTGGCAAATACTTGACGTTTGAAGCTGCTTCTTTTCCATCCATAGAAAACAGATCAAAAGGGTGGAGTGTATAAATAGTTAAATACTCAAACGACTCACACCAAAAGCCAAGCCCAGGAACACCACACTACTCAACAATTGTTTGGATTAATGATTTTCCATTTCCGGTTCAAAGCTCAAACATTACCAATTATTCTGCTGGAGGATACTCTAGAGTCCTGTCCAGAAGGTAAGTGCTTGGACGAGACCTATTTCAGGTTTTGCCAGGAAAATTTTCACCTATTATAGCATCTACTTATTGTGACATAAAACTTGAGCAGAACTGATGAAGCTTTTTAGAATGGAAGACGGAAGTACATGCTTTATCTAACAGCCTGTGACTTAAGTCAGCTCTAGAAAGAAAGAAGAAAGGACAACAAAAGTTTAACCTAAACTGAATTGAAACCAAAACAAGTACACCCAAACTCAAGATGAGCTCGTCCTCCACAAGTATCAATACTCGAGAAACACTTCAGACGTATCCTTTTGGAGAGCTAACGTTGTAGTAACAGTATGATTTCGTAGTGGAATCACAAATCAACTCGATACCCGCAGTTTTATACGGCAAGCTAAGCAATAAATGACAGGACTTTGAGCGAGAGAGGAAACCAGGAGAAACAAAGATGTACCTTTTTGAGGGCGAGGGCGAGGCGTTTGCTGTCAAGCTTTCCGGGCATGGCGTCCAAATGGTCACGAGCGCACCTGAAGGCTCTGTTTTGCAGAGCGAGAGGCATATCGGAAGCCCTAACTCGGACATTGAACTGGTCGTTATGCTCCTGCTGTTCTTTGGCCTTCTTCTTCTGAATCAAGCTGCTCAAGAACTTGCTTCTTCTCTCGAGTTCAAGCTCCGCTCCTTCCATGTCGCTCTCTCACACATAACTCGAAGAGACAAGAGAGGTCGTTAGATCGTCATCTGAGAGAGAGCACCGACTGTTCGACGAAATCTCTCAAAGAGGAAAAAGGAATGACATTTCAGATGCGCAGATAGTCGTGTAAAGAAGGGCATTGGGCAAGGCGCAGAGGGGACAAAATAGCGTTCTTGGATTAGCGGAAAGCAGCCGACCTCAGACAAATCCATAACTTTAGTCATCCGCAATTATATGATTATCTGCGTTTTTAATTTAAAGCCTTTTTTATATATATATAAAAAAAATCAAGGGTCCGCTTCTTGAAAATGGTATGAAAAACGGTGTGTATAATGAATTCGAAATCACCAGAATCAATCTTTTAACAATTAACAACAACAACATGCCTTAATCTATGTTTAAGGAAATTTAATCTTGGATTCGTATGTAAATATGCATGTGTTAATTGACAATTAATACGGGTGGGCCTTTTCTTTTTCGTTGCCGCAACGGCTAATTCAACTCTGGATTACGGCCCTTGGGCCCATGCTTACATTTTTTAATGTAAATTTACCCTTTCTCTTTCCTTCTGCTTTTCCCCCTTTGTGCACCTCTGATATATCTTACAATGTCTGACCAATCATTGAACAAAAATAAATTGTTCTCATTGTGGCATTAAATTTTTCGATCTTTGCTGGACAGTAGTAAAATGAAGAGCCGGACTTGGTTCAACGGTAAAACCATTTATCGTGGGGTTTAAGATCGCGGGTTCGAATCTACCTCTCTGCATAAAAATATAGAGATAAGGTGGTCTATTATATTCCATTCCCCAACATTCCACTAGATGGGATATGAATTGGATTAGTCCTTTTGAACAGTAGTAAAATGCTTCGTTTATGGATCATTGACACTAGAGAATAACATAATCTGCCATTATAAAATGCAATCAAATTAATATTATTAAAGGAGAGAGAGGTTAAAAAGAAGGATTTTCCTCATGTTAATATTATATAGAGGAGAGGACTAGAATACAGTTTTTTGTTTTTTTGGTCGAGGGACTAGAATACAGTTACAGAGAGAAGAAGAAGAAGATAAGATCAAGAAGGGTGGGAAGAGAAGAAGGAGAGGAGGCCGAGGAGAGGGGCGTTGATGTAAGTGGTGGGCTCAGACTGTTGGAAGAAGGGCCTTGAGTCTGGGAAGGCATCGGTGATGTTGGGGCCACCAACGACGGCTCCCACCAGAAGGTTTGGGTTTGGGCCTGGGCTGAGGAAATAAGAAGTGCCGTCCTTGCATCTGAAAGGGGAGGGGTGGGCCGCCACGGATGGGAGGGAGCTGCCCCTGTGGTGGATCCGGTGTGGGAAACGGGGACCGTAGCCGACCATGTAAGAGAGGCGCAAGGGGTTGTCGCCGAGGATGTAGTCCACCTGCCGCTTCGCCACTTGACGGAGGAGGGATGGTGAAGCCGTCAGCTCGCCGCATGGAACCACCTTCCGGGAGTGGCTGAGATAGTTGGCATATGCCACCATCAGGAATGAGAGCGACGTTACATGCTGCATGTTACTCCCTCCCGTCTTGAACATCAGCCCCCCTGTATTTTTTATTTTATTTTTTTACATATACGTGGAGCTAGAATCAGACAAAACTCCATACATATACATCACGTGAATGAATGCTGAGATTTTGAATAATAATAAATAAAAAAGAAAAGAAAACCTGGAGAGTATTGGACTTGTGGGTGAGAAATCCCAGGCAATATAGAGCAGATAAAACCGTCTGCATTTTGCTTGAAAGACTCGAAATATTCTGCTTTCCCCATCAACACCTCCTGCCATTTTATTTTACACACATTTATACACATCATCCCAACAGGAAAGAGATGCGTTTCATCTAAAGCTAGGATGGCCATATCATATGCCATAAGCTAGGATGGCCATATCATTTATACACACATTTATATATACATATATTATAGTTTATTGCGCTATCTATATGCAACCCTCCTTATATATATATATATATATTCATGCGTCGTCAAATCGACCATGTGAGGTTCTGACTTGCATCATTATTTTTAAAAATTAAATAATGGCATATGATGCCAAATCTAGGAGAATACGAACATCCGATGCCAAAAAGAGGGGAATGTCTATCTCTTTAAGATTGGTTCCCACTTCACATGAAGTGCCTAATCCCACTGCCATCTCATTCTCATGTGCACTCCTCTCCTCCTTATCCTCCCCTCCCGTCCCCTCCATTTTTTTCTTTTTCTTTTTTCCCTTTTTTTTTTTAAATCTTCTCTAATCTTTCAAGTTAGCCCCGATTTCCTTCCAACCACAAACAACACAAAAATAAAAACGCCAGAGAAAGACAGATAATGGTGAACGATGCCAATCAATGAACCCACATGCCCAACATTATCTTATAAAAGGCACAGAGATCTAGAATCCCTAAATACATATAAATGAAAGGCGTGCGTACAATTCTCCCTCCCTATGATTCATGCACTTATCATCCCACAAGCAGACAAAAGTGCGATCGAATTTATGTTTGCATCTCACCCCCACCTCTCAGTTTTTTCATGTTTCTTTTCCTAATATTCCATGTACCCCACGAGGCATGAAAAAGAAAACCAGATTGAAAAATTATTTATCCGACCCTCTTCCCTAGATGATCCAAAATAGCAAAAGCTTCAACTTGGGGCTTTATATAGGGGAGAAAACCAAAAAAACGTAAACAGTAGGACCCATGATTGTGTAACCCCACTCCTAATTACTAATTACGATCAAAAATCATGCCACGGACACGTGACGACGACCAGACCCCCTTGCTTCGTATATAGAATGACAGATCTACCGATCCTAATTAATTCCAATACATTAGTAGTCTCCTAAGGACCAAACACAGACAGAAAAACAAAAGGCACACTCGCATTCCCATTAACAAAACAATTTCTACTTCTTCTTCACACAGACAATACGCACACACATATATATATATATATGATAATGATGATGATGATGATGATGAAATAGAGGGGGAAAGAGAGAGAATGGAGAAAAAACCTTGGAGATGAGGACATTAATGCCGGCATGCTTGTTGTCCCAACCAAACTCATTGATGGTATCGCCAGCCCTCAGCACCACCTCGTTCTTCACTATGTATTCTCTGTACGCTCTCCTCCTCGACGCTTTGTGCAGCCAAGCCGCTCCCCACAGCAACTCGTCCTGCATCCATCCACCCTTTCATGTTCATCTCAACCCCTTCGATTCTACTCTCGTCTCAATTAATTTACCTGATACCCGTTGAAGTCGCAGTAAAACGGGCACACCGCGTGGTAAAGACTCGAGCTGTACGCCCCCCTGTACTTGTTTGCGAACGCGAATACCTGCTTCCACGTCCATCCATGCTTACACCAATTATATATATATATATTTCAGAAAACCCAGAAAAGAATTAACTTATTTTTCATTGCTAGTCAGACCCGTGAATTCAACGCTTCTCTTTTTCTCGGTGGATGTCAGAAATCACTCCCAACGGTACACTTCTATTTACACCGAAAGTCAAAGTTTTTGTTTATGCTGATGGATAGCGTATGGCCCAACTACTGTGTGTAACAAATTTTCAGGAAACGTATGCAGAATCTCCTTACCACACAAGCAAAGAATAATTGAAATTATTCAAAGTTTTAGACATCCATTTTACTTTTCTTTAAAAAAAAATAAAAAAATCACGTGGAAAAATAAATGGGAAAACTGAAAAGTGCTGTTAAATGCCTAGGGAGATTTACCTCAGCTAATAGGCCCAGTCAGAAAAACAAATCTCGACCATAGATATGAAAACAGTTAAAACCAGTGAAAAGGGTTAGAAAACAATAGTAAATAACGCATTTGCCACAAGAACGCACGCAGTAAATGCTTTTTTTTTTATAGCGAAAACGTTATACAAAAAAAAAACCAAAAAAAAAAAAAGATGGGACAAAGAAAACGACGTAGTCAGAAGAGAAGGTGTGAAAGCGAACGTACCCTAACGGCTCGATCGAGAAGGCGACGGGAATAGGAAGGGTCGCGTTTCCTGAAGACGATGGAGGCGGCAGCGAGAGCGGCGGCGGTCTCTCCGGCGACGTCAGAACCGGGATGGGCCTTGTCTATTTTGTAGACTGTACGGAGGGTGTCCATGTCCTCCGGCCTCTCCCAGCAGTTGTGGTCAGAGTACGCGTCTCCCACCTGAACGAAGACTACGCCTGGAATCGCCGTCGCTTTCAGAAGATAGTCCGTCCCCCACCTCACGGCTTTGACGGCGTTCTTCAGCTCAGGTCCCATCGTCTTCCCGAAGTCGATGATGCTCCACGACAGCATTGTCGTGGTGAACGCCATCGGGAACCCGAACTTCACGTTGTCTCCGGCGTCGTAGTAACCTCCCGTCAAATCCACCTGAAAATTTTCAGGAAAAATAAATAAAAAAATCGTCTGGGTGTTAGAAGTAAGCTTCGGTTTCTACACTGGGTAACAGTGTGGGTAAAAAGAGCGAGCAGAACACAGGAGAAAGAGAGGGATACCCCGGCGGAGGAGCCATCTCGCAAAGCGGAGTCACGGCGCCATCGGATGCGTTGATCGGGAGGGAGCTTGCCGGAGCGTTGGCCTTCGAAGAACAGAATGCCCTTCCGTAGAGCGT